ATTATATTAATAAAACAGAAATGATTATATAGCCTGTCTGCTGGAACAAACAAAAGTGGCCATTTTAAAGAGGTGGCCATCAGTGAAGCGGACCACTCAAAGTGGAGTCAAGCACACTAAGCATTAGATCACTCGCTCTTCATCTCATAAATGCCTACTATTGGTGAAATGTACTCAGGTGTTCATCTAAAGCAATTATGAGTTTGGAATGGTATCCGTACGGTTACTGCTCATCTTTTCTGGTGCGATTTTGTATGGTTACTTGTGTACAAGTCCATGAGACTTATTAAAGCTTGGGCTTTATTTTGATAACTGTAATCAGTACCTCCGATCATAACTGATCCCATGGCATCAAACACAGGGCTTCCAGTGTACGATGTAAGACCAAGACACCCAGTAGCCAGCATCACTCCAGCTACAGCAGCACCATCCTCCAACATCACTGTTACTGCACTTGGATCTCGGCCCCGTATCACTGCATCAAACAAAGGAACAAATCCAAAGCATATGAAGATATGTGAGGAAAAGCAGGTTTAGTAGAAAGAGGTTCGTTATGTGATATCTTATTTTCTGCAGCAGAGACCATGATATGGTACCATGTTGCAAAAAGTATTGTGATGTTGACAGAAGGTGCACACAATTGAACCGCAATAAGGTAATTACCATACCATATTCTTTAAAAGATATTCCACTTTCCCGTGCACTCTTCCTTACTTGTCCAATGGCCAGCAGCAGAGTGGCTATTAAATAAAACAGTTGAATGGATCATTATTTAGGAAGTAAATGTTATTGTTTAAAAATGAAACAACCGAAACATAACAGGAGGTGACATAAAAGCAATGCTACACACCTGCAGGGAATCATGACAGTTGCATTCATCAAAACAAATATCCAATCTTTTTTTACGTAAAAGCAGTCTAGTTTGGAAAACGAAAACCACCATCTGCACTGTTATGTTAGCCCTGATGTCAGTCATCACAATAAATAGTTCCCTCAGGTAAAATCAAAGGATCTTATCAAGCTGATTGTACAAGAAATGAATGAAATTTAACTTTAAAAAATGTCCACAGCTTTGCAAATCTCCAGTAGCCTAGTATGACATGGCACTCAATATTACATCCAGGGGACATCTATTGTTAAGGATTATTACTGACTGTATCCTTACAAACACTAAGAAAATGCTTGTTTCCTAGAACCTGAAAGAATCTGTTGAGTTAGAAGAGAAGGTTGAAAGCTAGTGAACAACAAACCTCCTTCCACTAGGAACGATCCAGCTAGTATGGTATAGGCCTGTAGATAACAGACATAAAGGTTAATAAGTATATAGCTCATTGAACTCATCACAAATAGATGAGCTTGGGAACTGGTGCCTGAAAGGTTAGCAGGGAACAGAAGCCGTAAGCAGAAGGGGAGGTATCCATGGCAACCCTGGAAGCGGGAACCACCCACAAAAGCAGCCCGCTAACTGGCACCATCACACTGAAAGAATCAGTGGAAACAACTTACCTGACCCATACTTACCTAGAGACCAGCAACCAAGAGGGAGGGACAGGAAGGGACAAGAATCCGCAAAGATTCGCCAAAATGCAAAGCAAATGATCCACAACGATCAGCTGGCAGCACAGTACATGCAATGCAATGTGACACAACAGTCCTGCAAATCTCCAAAGGGCCGCCCCGCAAGTCACGTATTGTTAAAGGGGCAACTGCTGACTGCATTGGTTTGAGTCTAACTTTGCCTAAATCATATTTAGCCACATTTAATACATCTGAAAAGTTTAGGACAAACATTACATCTTTGCCTAGTAAGTGACTTTCAGCATGTTCGAGCCACTAGCAATTAAATTTTAGACTAATTAATTTTAGACTCCTTTCCCATTTTGTTTATTCATTTTAATTGACGTATTTTTATCTTTTTTATTCCTTTTGTAACTGAAAAGCCCCTTTGGGGAGTTGCAAATAAAGTATGTATGTATGTATTTCTCATAACTACTTTCAGACATTTCTAATCCAACCAATATTACAGCCAAGGATTACTTTTAACTTTCTTGTTTTTAATGAGATTAACAATTTGAATAATCATAGTTAACTGGGAGATTTGCTGTTGGCCAGTGCATGATCACCTTAGGCATGCACATTTGAGGCATAGCAGCATAGATTTGCCCTTGTGGTTTCACTTTGAGTAGTTTTGATTTGCTGCTTTTTCTCTGGACCCGCATCTTGGTTCCTGGAAGGTGTTGTGTTCAGGTAAGTATTCTTTGTCTTCTTAATTCTCCAATGAAAGATCAGTGTGGCAGGTGCCAGGGGGAGGTGACCTATTGGGTTGTCATGGTAACCCCTTTACTTGCACTTAACCCATGTTCACTTGCTTATTACCTGGATTACCTTGTTTCCTTATTGCTCTACACTCCATTTGAATATTGCTTATTGACAAGTTAACTTTATAAATTAGTTATTGTGTGTTTTTTTTTATTACACCTTACCATAACAAGATTCTCAAGGGGAGCTGGATTAATCAGGCCTGCTACACCATGATAAACTGTAACACCAGCTCCAAGGAAAAAAATTCCAACACCACTGATAAGTGAATACACATAACGAGCTCTTGACCAGCCATACCTAGATGGGTTGGTGTGTTGAGAAAATAGCTTTGTCAGGCACTTGGCAAATACACCCTAGTATTGGTTTAACCAATTTTATGCAGACTTTATTTGTTAATTAATCAACCACACGAGAGCAACCAACGTGGTTTAAAGGTACATGTACACCTCCTTGGTACCTTTGTACCTTGCCTCTGAGCTCATGCCAAACTTCATCAAGGCTTGTAAAAAGTATGTTCAATAACACAGTGAAACAAAACAAAGAAATGCCTAAGAAGTAACTAACATTACTTATATATTGTAGCAAATTAAAAAAAAAAAAACGTTCTCTGGTTAAAATAGTTAAAACTAACAAGCTTCTGATTGCCAGTCTGCAATCTTTGTTAATAAGATTATGAGCTTGTTATTTCCTTGAAGTAGTTGATGAGGCCAGCTATCATCTCATTGAAATCTTGAGCTCATAATCTAAAAAATTGTTAATTAGACTACAAATCTTAGTTTCCCCGTGAGTGAATAGTCAATGAAGCTCAGCTAGGTTGGCCATTGCTCGTAGAAAATGAAGAAAAACAGACACTATATAAAATAATTGTAGTCCAGAAACTATAACTTTGATCTGAAAGCAAAAAATCAAGCCTACAACGTGTTGACTATTTACTCATAGGCAACTCATGAAAGGCTCCAAATTCATTGTTAACTAGGCAAAGATGGGCAAACCAATCAGAATAGTGGATTTCCAACAGAACACAATGTCTACTAACAAAAAAGGGTAAACAGAATTATATCACCCTTATCATACATTGCTAAGTGAACATATATGAGGTTTCTTCACATGAAAGAAATGTTGTTTAGGATCTTGAGCTTGTCATGAGCTTGGGTGACTTCTTGTTAACATCAGACTTTGTAAGCACACACCATTTTGCAGCATGCAAAAAAAATGTGTTAAATTAATATCAAACACTCAGGTAAAGATTAAACAGGTTGGATTTTTGGCATACAAAAAATTCTAAACAATTTCTGAAATGAATTGTATTTAAAAGGAATCTAACTTACGGATGATCTGGAGAAGGCTTCTTAATTGATTGCAATATTCCAACAGCTAACAAGCACTGCAGCAAGACAAATCAAACAAATGCCACAGTGCTGTTTGCAATAAATTATTACATTTTGCTATAAATGAATTGCTTTCATTGAACTATTTATCAGAGTTTTCTATTGTACTTGTACGTCATGTATTACATATTCTAACAAAATGAAACAAAACGAAACAGGTGTGAAAAACAGATAAGAAATTGAAACAAACTTGTTACCATTAATTTCAATCCACACCCATTTTTGATGGAATGTGTAGTTCCAGAAAATATCCATACCTCCCCCACGGAAGGGATTTTTTCTAAGACCCCCCCCCCCCCCCCCCCCCCAACCCCTCTGGAAATTCCAATAAAGCTTCACACATTTCTTTAAATTTTTTGGTCTTTCAGAGCCCCCCACCCCCCCAGGAAATTCCAATCCCTTCTGTGGGGGGAGTATGGATATTTTCTGGACCTGCACAGTAAGTCAAGTCTGACATCCACACTTAACTCTCGTTACACTGTATGACACCCACTTTTCTTCCAGGGTGGTGGCTCTTGAGAGGTGAAACTGGACTTTTCTTGGGGCTATTCCACAAGAGTTTGGATTCTTATCATTCCACTACTATTTCTTATTGTACCAGATGTTTCAAATTATTCTATTGATCAATAATTAAATGTATTTCTCAAATTCAAGACCAAATACTGTAGGTTTGGCTAGTGCATAGCTAGACTGTAAACAAAAGGTTAAAAACCTCAATCAAAATGCTAAACATAATGGTCAAAGTAATAGTCACAACAACAAAAAAAGAAATAAAGAACCAAATAAGATAAAAATGCTGCCTGCTGTGCAGTTATGAGGAGCAGGCAACATTTTCATTCTATGTCTGCGTAAAGTGCTTAAAAAAAAGCTGACCTTACTTAGTTATTGGCTAAAGTTATTGAAAGAGCTTCATGGCTTAGTCAGTAAGTAAAGTACACATGACAGACAAGTCTTTCCTCTACCACTTGTAAAGCAACAACTTGTGGTGACTCACAGTTAAAAGGTAACACATCAGTGCTTTGAGTAATTACGTTTGCTAAAATAATCTTTTTAATGGATGCATCTACAGCTGTAATATACCTGGTTTAACATATCAGCCAAGGAATGAATAGATTCAGACAACATGCTTGCTGATCCAGTGTATAGATATGCACCAAACTTTAACAGCATCACAGCACAGTTACTGGAACAAAACCCAGGAACAAAATATTACTTGTTTTAGCTCATACAATAACTGTTGATTGGATGTATTTAACTAACAACAAAAAAATAATATTTCAATTGACCACTCTGCAATAATCCTTTTCAGGGCCAAGATTTGAGTCAACATTGAGGTAAGTGTACCAGTAGTTTACATGTATGAGCACTCATAAAGCTTATACTATCATTTCTTAATTGGACCATACACTAAAACAGAGGAAACTACCAAAGAAATTGTTCCAAAAGAGAAACTTAACCACAACATATGTACAACTTTGTTAAGAAAATGACAGTAACATAGAAACTGAGCAAGGAAAAAAAAAACATATTAAGTTATATTTGTGAAACTAATAAATAAATTCTTCTCTTTTACCTGCAAATTGCATAAGTTACAACTTTTGCAGAACCTTTTAGCATCATATTTCTTTGTGTTCTCTCACCAAAATGCTAGAAAGTAATAATAAAGTCTATCAATCTACATGTACATGTATATCTCTTTGACAGAATAAACAGGACAAAATTTGCTAGTTTAGGCATTAAAAAGTCAATGGCTTTGGTTGAGAGAGAAGCACAAAAATTGTGGAAGTAAGAAATTTCATATCAGGCTCATTTATAATAATAATAATAACAATAACAATAACAATAACAATAACAATAACAATAACAATAATAATAATGATAATAACAATAATAATAATAATAATAATAATAATACATCTTTATAGCACTAGTTACAGTGTTAGGCCGGGAAATTTATTGAATACCTGAACCAGATATCTAAGCCAGGAGTTGCTAGTTGACCTGTAATATGCTCTAAATCTCAGAATTGAAGAAGCAGCATTTTTTCTAACCCAGCAAAGGACAATGTACTCTTATCTATGACTTTATAAATCCGTGTAATGTCACAAAACAAAATATACTTTCATAGTGAGAAAGGCCTAATTAATAAAAATTATAAACAAAAAAGAAAATATTAAGCATCTTAGAGAGGCTTCAACTACAGCCCGTTTCTAAAAAGGGAATCAAAGTCTTATGTGCAAACAGGTCAGAGATGAGATTGACCTAGAATTGAGTGGTTGGGTTTAATGTAATGCATATTGCTAATCACCACACAAAAAGTGCCATCCTTTAAAGGGATACTCTCTTTCAGACCAAAAGGCAATAATGTCTGTAACGCTATCACAGATTACAGTTGATCCTAATAAAAAGTACTGTAAGCAACAACTTAATTTTAAGAGGGTGACACAACAGAATCACTGACAAGCTAGTGGCACTCTATCCACACTTATTACTCAGTACCTAAAATACATCTAGCATAGTCACAGGCTAGGAGATTACTGCAATGCTAAAAGTTAAAATGCCAAAATATAAGGAAGAAAAAAAGTATATGTACCGTTACATATAAACATTCCATCAAAAATGGGTGTGGATTGAAATTAATGGTAGCAAATTTGTTTCAATTTCTTATCTGTTTTTTCAAACCTGTTTTGTTTTGTTGTGTTAGAATATTTAATACATGTACAAGTGCAATAGAAAACTCTGACACATGACACATAAGCAAGGAATTCTTAAGTTTAAAACAACTTTTTAAAGCACACTTAGAGGTGCTTAAAACTATGTTTTAAAGCACACTTAGAGGAGCCAATGTTGTCCATAGGGATGAAAAAGAAGTATATGTTAAGGGGAGAACTCTTCCCATGAAGCTCTCAAATAAAATGTTTTAAGCAACTATGATAACCACTGACCTTGTTTTCTTCCTTCTTCTTAGTGTGATCTCTTATTGTCTTCTTTAAGTGTCCTATTAGTGCTCCAAGGCCTAACAATAGTGAATAATGCATACATATTTAGATTTTACTCAGACTTAATTAAAACCTCTTCTGAGTTTCTTGTGTTTCTTGGGATATGTTCAGCATCCATTCCTAGGAAGTATGTGAAGAACTGGAAATTAACAATGAGGTAATATGCATGACCTACCCAGCAGGAATACAACACTTGGACCAGGCTAAGAATAAGCAGCACCAATTTTATTTCATTTGCTCTTTGTTGAGGGTAGTATGTTTTGAGCTCCACGGATTTCAATACATACCAGTACCACTGGTATGTTCCTCCACATGGATAGGTACATGTGCTACATATTTACCAGAAATATCCTTTCACTTCCATGGCATTGTTTACCACACCTTTATCTACACCCCTGTATCTCTCTTTAAAATGGTTTTTATCTTTCTATGTATAAAATATTTTAATATAAACATATTAATTAATTAACTGACAGTGCAGATGCATATTTCACCTTTCCTGTAACGTTCACTTTCCTCATATGCCTTTTTCCTGTTCCATTTCTCTCTGGAAAGAGCTTCAGGGCTTCCCCAAACTTCATAAGCTCTAAAATTAATATTTTAGCAAGGAAGGTTCAGTAAGGATTAAATCCTAGTTTGGTTTTTGTTTGTTTGTTGTTAAAAACCCTTAGAAAGTATTAGCAGTCTCAAGTCAAGCTTCTACAACAGGCACATTGTCAACCATCTGACACTGCTATAACCTGCAAACACTGAAAGGCAATCGCTGAAAGCTGTTTTCAGAGACTTGGCAAAGAAAAGAATGGTTTAAGTGACTCATTATAAGCCTATCTCAGAGATGGCACTATCATTTCATATTTACTTAGAAGTTTCATAGAAACATTGATGGTCAGGAGAAGATCAGGAATTGAAAAAACACATACATACAAGTAAAGCAACAAAATGGATTGGACACACCTTGCAAATTATAGAGTTATATTGCCTTGGGTCTGGCACATACAGTGTAAGGCTTATCTGGGTACCAGATAGGAAACGATGGAGGGAAAAGACCAAGTATAGCCTACCAGGGAAGTATATTTTAACCTTTCGCTAGTTTAGTTGTCCACATTGTGAGTAACAATAATAACTTTACACCTAAATTGTTTAAGACATCTGTCTCCTACATAACCTACAGTACCGTATTAACTTGAATAAGCGTGCCCCAGAATAAGTGCTACCCTCGATTAAGCACCGCACATGGGGTGGAAACGTTAATAAGCACCGCCCTCAAATAAGCGCCGCAGCTGCGGTGTTTCGCTTATTCAAGTATTTCCATAAAATGATAAAAATACACTGTAATCGCTGCAATGCAGTTCTAAGCCAGCAATGGGAATTTATTTTCATCAATAGTGATATTTTTCAGACTAAGATAAAGTGCATCCTGTGTTATATCTTGTGAACTTTCAGCAACAGTCAGGACATTGATATCGAGTGAAGCGTTGTTGAAACCTGCAGAAAAGTATTCACTAGGCTGTTATGAAAGCCAAAACTTAGGTTAGCTTCAAGCCTGTAAGCCATGAAAAATACTCATGAGGTAAATTAAATTGTATAACCAAAATGTTTTGTCTTTGTGGTATGAGCCTTTTAAACAAGCGCCACCCTCGAATATGCGCCGCACCGGAGACAAGAAAAATTAAATAAGCTCTGCGGCACTTATTTGAGTAAATACGGTAAGTACTTTTTAACAAGTATATGTAGAACCTACAAAAGAAATCTGTTAAATTTAAGGTTGACAATTCACTCCACCTAATGTCCCTAATGGCTCATTGCACACAAAATAATGTCACTATCTTCAACATCTGTTTGCCAATAAGCATGTATTCCTGACCATTAAAACCATGGAATGACTAGCAAATATGCTGTGGTTTAATTCATTTAACTTGAAATCTTTCAAACCCAACCTACTTTGTCTCTACATCTGATTTTAAGTAGCAAACATCAGGTGGTTGTTGTGGGTCACTGTAAGCACTACGCACTGCTGTTGTCTTCAATCCCTCTAAATCACTAAGATTACAAAAACAATAACACATCACTAACTACAAAATTTTCTACTGAATTATAATATTGATGTGAAGTTTATATGAAATAATTCATATATGAACTGCGGTTGTAGAGAAAGTGAAGAATGATCATCGCAGTTACTTTTCCAATTTAAGCAATTGGAAAGAAGAAGCCTGAAAAAAATCAGGGCTTCAACGGGATTCGAACCCG